ACATTCTTGACACATACTTGTATCTTGCACATTCCTGACACATACTTGCATCTTACACATTCCTGACACATACTTGTATCTTGCACATTCCTGACACATACTTGCATCTTGCACATTCCTGACACATACTTGCATCTTGCACATTCCTGACACATACTTGCATCTTACACATTCCTGACAAATACTTGTATCTTGCACATTCCTGACACATGTATCTTGCACATTCCTGACACATACTTGTATCTTGCACATTCCTGACACATACTTGCATCTTACACATTCCTGACACATACTTGTATCTTGCACATTCCTGACACATGTATCTTGCACATTCCTGACACATACTTGCATCTTACACATTCCTGACACATGTATCTTGCACATTCCTGACACATACTTGTATCTTGCACATTCCTGACACATGTATCTTGCACATTCCTGACACATACTTGCATCTTGCACATTCCTGACACATACTTGTATCTTACACATTCTTGACGCATACTTGTATCTTGCACATTCCTGACACATATTGATCTTGCACATTCCTGACACATACTTGCATCTTGCACATTCCTGACACATACTTGCATCTTGCACATTCCTGACACATACTTGCATCTTGCACATTCCTGACACATACTTGCATCTTGCACATTCCTGACACATACTTGCATCTTACACTTTCCCTGACACATACTTGCATCTTGCACATTCCTGACACATACTTGCATCTTACACATTCCTGACACATACTTGCATCTTGCACATTCCTGACACATACTTGCATCTTACACATTCCTGACACATACTTGCATTTGCACATTCCTGACACATACTTGCATCTTACACATTCCTGACACATACTTGCATCTTACACATTCCTGACACATACTTGCATCTTGCACATTCCTGACACATACTTGCATCTTACACATTCCTGACACATACTTGCATCTTACACATTCCTGACACATACTTGCATCTTACACATTCCTGACACATACTTGCATCTTACACATTCCTGACACATACTTGCATCTTGCACTTTCCCTGACACATACTTGCATCTTACACATTCCTGACACATACTTGCATCTTGCACATTCCTGACACATACTTGCATCTTACACATTCCTGACACATACTTGCATCTTGCACATTCCTGACACATACTTGCATCTTACACATTCCTGACACATACTTGCATCTTACACATTCCTGACACATACTTGCATCTTGCACATTCCTGACACATACTTGCATCTTACACATTCCTGACACATACTTGCATCTTACACATTCTGACATACTATTGCATCTTACACATTCTGACACATCTTGCATCTTACACATTCTGACACATACTTGCATCTTGCACATTCCTGACACATATTGCATCTTACACATTCCTGACACATACTTGCATCTTACACATTCTTAACTATGCATTTATTCCTTTGCAATATTTTTATTCAAATTTCCTTTCATTTACATTCTGCATAACACATTCACAAATATGTAATTCTTCTCCATAGTATTTTCTTGTACAACTGCCCGTCAACTGCCTTAATTAACTGCCCTAAATTTCCACATTTTACCTGGATTGATATTTTTCCTTTAGTCTACATTCCTCATAATTTTCCCAAGAACGACTTTCTACAATGTACTCCTGAGAAACATTCTACTGTGTACTCTGCTTACTTCTGTGAATGTTATATTATTCCATATCTTATGTTAGTTCCTCATGTTGCCTCAGTAAATATGTTAGTCTCCTCATGTTACCTCAGTAAATATGTTAGTCTCCCTCATGTTGCCTCAGTAAATATGTTAGTCTCCTCATGTTGCCTCAGTAAATATGTTAGTCTCCTCATGTTGCCTCAGTAAATATGTTAGTCTCCTCATGTTGCCTCAGTAAATATGTTAGTCTCCTCATGTTGCCTCAGTAAATATGTTAGTCTCCTCATGTTGCCTCAGTAAATATGTTTAGTCTTTCCCCATGTGCTCAGTAAATATTGTTAGTCTCCTCATGTTGCCTCAGGAAATATGTTAGTCTCCTCATGTTGCCTCAGTAAATATGTTAGTCTCCTCATGTTGCCTCAGTAAATATGTTAGTCTCCTCATGTTGCCTCAGTAAATATGTTAGTCTCCTCATGTTGCCTCAGTAAATATGTTAGTCTCCTCATGTTGCCTCAGTTAAATATGTTAGTCTCCTCATGTTGCACTCAGGAAATATGTTAGTCTCCTCATGTTGCCTCACAAACTTCTCTTGGATCTGTACTTGTAGTTTTGTTTTCTCTTACTCAACATTTCCTCTCTTGTTCTGTGATGGAAATAATTTAGATAATCAACAAGTTGAGGAATGAGACAATTGTTCAACATTTGGTAATATTTATGAAGGAAACATTTCGCCAGCCAGTGTTTTCTTGCTTCTTCAGTCCAATGCAAAGAAGAGAGGTGGAAAATGGGGAGGATTGAGGTAATCAGTCCCTCAGTCTCACAAAGATTCCCAAATGCTACACAAGCGTCTCGTTCCATAAGTCTTGGTCTATAAGTATTGACCGTCTTTAACTAATTTTCTGGCTAAGTAATCTAACATTCAACAATATTATTTCCCAACTACTGTCTAAATGTCCATCTTTGTTTTCTCATGCTAGTTTTTCATCCTATTTTTCCTTGCTTCTTGATGGCATTGCTGTCATATTTTGATGGGGAGGAAGGATGTTTGTGGCGGCGTCGCAGCCTGGTAGCCTCCTTACAGCGGCGTCGCAGCCTGGTAGCCTCCTTACAGCGGCGTCGCAGCCTGGTAGCCTCCTTACAGGAGAATAACAGCAATAATCAGGGGGCAATTCCTGTATGAGGCATAGTGGGAGACAGAACCAGGGAAGATAATGGATGTGATGATGGTGTGTGAGGCCGGAAAGTGCAAGGAGGCAGAGAAGTTCGTACCCAGAAGCAATAGAAACAATGGGAAGACCAGAGTGAGCATATTGTTTAACCAAGGCTGCAGAGATACAGCATGGAAAAAGCATTAGACAAAGAACTCTGGAAAATAATGAAGTGAACCAAAGAGCCTTAAACGGTTATGCAAGGGTAAGAAGATAGGCTCAATGACAACTTGAGAATGACATAACATCGAACGTTAAATTCAACCCTAAGCTTTAAATTGGCCACATCAGGAGGAACGCAACAGTAAGGAACCACGGAATGAGGCTGAAGAAGGTAGGAGGGGAGCTTAAAAGAAATGAGAAGGAAGTCTGTGAGGAGTTCAGAAAGAGATTTAGTGAGGAATTGTTAGAGGAGACGGGAGAACTACCAACAAACTGAGCAGTACAGTGCACCAGCGAGCGTTGGATATAATATACACAACCAGGAAGGAGGTGAGGAAACTAATGTGAGATACCTCGATGGTGGTGGTACCAGACATCTCTTCATGGGACCTGAGAGAGGGAACAGAGGAACTTTGTGTACCTCCGGCAACAATCTTCAACAAGCCTGTAAACACAGGGCACCTGCCAAAGGTGTGATGAGCAGCAAATGTGGTCCCAGTTTTCAAGGAGACAAACGGGTAGCGGTAAGTTACAGACCAGTGTCACTGACATGTGTAGTAAGTAAAATCATTGAGAATATTATCAGAAGAGTTGTGAAGAACTTGGAAAGGAGCAACTCACACATGACAACCAGCACGGCTTCAGGGATGGTAAGTCTTGTGTCACAAACCTACTGGAATTCTATAACAAAGTAATAGAAGAGAGAGAGAGAGAGAGAGAGAGAGAGAGAGAGAGAGAGAGAGAGAGAGAGAGAGAGAGAGAGAGAGAGAGAGAGAGAGAGAGAGAGAGAGAGAAGGAGGAATGTGTAGATTGCATTTTCTGAACTGATGGAAGGCTTTCGACTCAGTACCACACAAGAGACTGGTCAAAAACTAGAGGACCAGGCAGGAATAACACGAAAAGCACTATAATGGATCAAGGCATACCTGACAGGAAGGAAAGAACCAGTGATGGTCTGTGAGGAGAGGTGGGGAATGAGTGTGACGAGTGGGGTTCCATAAGGATCAGTCCTAGAGCGGGAATTGGTTCTTGTATATGTTAATGACATGACGGAAGGGATAAAGTTCGCAGATGACGTGAAGGTAATGGGGAGCATACAAGTAACGAGGACCAGGAAAGGCTTCAGGTCTGGTCTGAGAAATGGCTCATAGAGTTTAACCCCAACAAGTGCGGGAGTAATGAAACTGGGAAAGAGCCAAGAAGAACACAGACGGAGCACCGGCTCGGAGGGCAAAGACTGCACACCTCAGGGGTGAGTATTGGGGTGATTATTATACTAAGCATATCACCTGAGGCTCATATCGACCAAATAATTACCAAATCAAATGCGCATCTGGCAAATCTAATAATTATTTTTCATCATCTAAATAAGGAGTCATTCACGACACTGTACATCGTGTACGTCAGGACCATATTGGAGTATGCAGCACCAGTATGGAACTCACTCCTGGTCAAGCATATCAGAAATTGTAGAAAATGCAAAGGTTTGCAACGAGACTTGTCCTGGAGCTAAGGGGTATGTCCTATGAAGAGAGGCTAAGTAAAGTTCCACTTACGGGTAATATGATAATAATACATATAATTGTGAGAGGAACTGACAAGGTAAGTAAGGACAGACTGACAGATGGGACGTAGGAACACGAGGCCACAACTGGAAGTTGGAAGCTCGGATCAGTTATAGGGATGTTAGGAAGTATTTCTTCAGCTCTAGAGTAGTCGGGAAATGGAACAAACTGGAGTTAAGTGGTAGAGGCAGGATCCATACATAACCTTCGAAGCCAGAAGAGAGAATGAACCAAGTAGCGACCAGCGAAGAGGCGGGCCCAGGAGCTGTGAATTGACCCCTGCATGCGCATATAGGTGAGTATACACACACACACACACATGTTGACCAATTACTGATCATAAAGTTTACAATAAGTTCACACCACAAGAGAAAGTTTATCTTACCAAGTTAACATCAATGGTCTTCTGCCAGTTCTGTTCGTTACCAATACCCGCGTTGTTGATGAGTAGTGAGACAGTGCCCAGCTTCTCCACCCCTGTGTCCCAGGCACCTGTGGGAACACACGTAGTTACTCGGAGGTTGTGTCCTGTAAAGTATCTCTCTCTCTCACTAGATAACCTCAACTACTGCATCATACACGACACTGAAGGAACATATTGACGGTTCACTCATCTTTACGCTCTATTACATTACCCTCTTAACCTATGTTACAAAACTCGTCTTCTTAACCTTCTCCAATGGTAGAGTGTTAAGGTTTGCATTCTTGTTGAACATATGGCCTGTTTACGGTTTTGCAATAATAACTTAAAAATTCAGGATTACAAAACAAATAACTATAATTAGAATCTTTACTAGTAGAGTTTTAGCTTAATGTTTAATATGTTATGATCAACATAAAATAAGGAGTTTAACTCTTACATTTCTCTTGGTATGTACAGTACATTGATATGAATAAATGAACCTCTTAAGGTTGAGCTTTGTACTAAAAATCACAAAAATATGCACTATAAGGCTTATTAAGACCTAGCCACAAAGTAACTTACAATGCTTATAAAGACTTATCTGAACTATCAATTCAGAGTATACAAGAACTCGTAGTGACGGACTTAGTCTCATTTTCCCTCCAACATGGGCTAAGAATAGCTTAGACCACACATTAACATCAAGGCCGACAAGGCTTATTCAGTCACATGGAAAGATTAATTTACCCGAGTATAACTCGAAAGTGACAAGCTTAAGAAAGTCAATCATGAAAGAAAACGACCACAAGACAACTTGACATGTCTCTTATGAGAGATCAATGAGTGAGGTATGCTCCCTTGGCTATGCAAGGCCAGACTAGAAGTGAGAGTGCTAGTCAGAGTGAGTGAAGGACATACTCTCAGCGAGTGCTGTAAAACTACTCAGAGCAAGTTGTGAACCTTCTCTGAGCATGTGCTGTAAACCTACTCAGTAAGAGTAGTGAACCTACTCAGAGCAAGGGCTGAGAACCTACTGCCGGTACCACTGAGTGGTAAGCCGACGTCACGTTGGTCAAGTGACTGAGGGAGACTTAAGTACCTGAAGTGCTAACCGGCACTTACACTAGTGGTTTCCCACTACATGAGAATATTAACAACTGCTAACAAAACATAATATAATACAATATTAATATTAGCATATATATTATAAAATAAAGGAGCACATCCTTGTATAAAATATAACGGGTATGGCCATACTAGTAACACCTAAGGTGGTTAATCTAAGGGTTAATCATAAGGGTTAACCTAAGTGATAATAACTACAATAACTGTAATAACTGCAAGGTCAATGTTTGCTAAATATGTGTCACTTAAGCATTATCGACTCACAGCTTCTTCCTCCTCCTCGGAACAAATAATATTACCTCATAATATTACCTCATATTCCCCAGTAATGGTATAACCTGTACGGTATAACTGCATCCTCATAAGCACAGTAATAAATGAATACCATATATACCATTATTCATGTACATCACAGTCATGTATAATATAATTCATACATTTCACTACAACAAAAATTCTATCATTTTCTTACCTTTAAAATCATCATCTTTGGTAACGTCACAGGCGACGAATATGACATTATCGTGACCATGAACTTCCTGTAGTTGTTCCACCGTAGCTGTGCCAGCTTGTGTGTCTATGTCAGCCACACATACCTGCAACAACAATCGTGGTTACGTGTGGGGCTGGTGGAGGTAGGTTAGGGGCTGGTAGTTAGTGGGTGGTTGTTGGTCGGTGGTTTAGCAGTAGGTTGGGAGTTGGTAGTTTAATAGTGGTTGGAATTAAGTTTGTGGTGGGTAGTTGGTGGTATTTGGTGATAATAAAACAGAAGCTTCTTAAAACGTTTCGTACTCCATCAGGTCAGTCTTTTCTCTGTCTCACGAACACGCAAGATGATAGATCAGTCTTTCAAACCTGAACTTATATTCAGTAAACACTGTATTTTTATGAAAATTGAGACACTTGTGCAACATATGGGAATCTTTATTTAGGAAACGTTTCGCCACACAGGGGCTTCATCAGTCCAATACAAAGCAGAAAGGTGTAAAGAGAGGAGAAGTTTGAGGTAATCAGTCCCTCAGCCTGGAGTCGATGTGTTCAGTCCATCGATCTTGTAGATTAACTCAAACTCCTCCTCTCCTTACACCTTTCTACTTTGTATTGGACTGATGAAGTCACTGTGTAGTGAAACGTTTCCTGAATAAAGATTCCCATATGTTGCATAAGTGACTCAATCTTCAACTTGTCAGTTTTCAAACCATTCATCACAAATGTATTTTTATGCTGTTCTTAATATTTCTTATATCTGTAATGGTTCATTTATAATTTGCATGGCCATGTCTGACACCTCACCACAACACCGATGATCACTGAACTCATTGATAGATATAAATTTGTGATTAGTACCAAGGCAACA